AAAAAGACAAAGAATTGAAATCTGATCAAGAATCTGATTTCTTTTTCGTCCTCTTTCCTTCTGATTCTCTCTCAAATTGAAGTGTCAATTTGTGTATTAAACTTTTGTGACTGGTCCAATGTCTCCATTGGCTGTGCCCTACATAGATAGGTTTTCAGAAAGTAACTAATAAGACAGTGAATAAAACAGTGTTCATTAATTTGTATGTCAGCTCTAGTACAAAGGATAAAGTAAAAAAAAAGTGATGAGTACTAACATTACACTAGACTCTCTAGTAAGAAACTTTTTTATAACTTGGAAAAGCAAATTGGAGTAATCCGAGGGTGTGTTTGGTATGACTGAAAACATCTCATTTTTCACTTGTTGCACAAAATAGTATAAAAAATATTTTTTTAGATATCATATTTTTTTGAAATTAAAGAAAATGATTTCCTTAAAAAAAGTTAGGAAAATATTTTCTACAAACTACACGTATCCTCACATCTAACGGTTCGAAAGTTTATAAAATTTATGGGTTTGGAATGTTGTTGGTCGAAAGTTTCATGTTTATTATATCTAAATTATTTATGAATACTCTTCCCTTAATTAACGTACCAAACATCGAATAGGACATTATCCGTTATACCAAACACACCATGAATTATGAAAAATTGGATTTGCTGGCTTCTGGGGATAGGGTAAACATTTGTTGGAAAATTAATTCAAAATTTTAGTAGTAAACTTACTTTGTAGATTTGATCTTTGATAATTTATTTATTCATGTCTTATTAGGACATGGTAAGAAAATAATATAGGATGTTGTTAGCTATTTTATGTGCGAAGATTTTGTAGAGATCATTAAAAGATTTATTTTTTAATAAATTATTCTTCTTTAAAACTTAATAATTTTGATGTGTGAATAAATTGTACCGAGTGTTTACACCAAATAATGATACAATACACATGTTTTTCATATATTTATTTACGTATCACTTAATCATAGTTAAATGACATACATTCTTTTTCTAATTTTTAACTGTTAAATTTGTTGATTTAATATATTTGGTGCAAATAAGGATTTACTCTGAACGGTCTTTGTCTTTCGTTGTTATTTCCTTCTCTCTTGTGTTTGACAGGAAAGTAAGCAATTTTTTGCATTCCTTTTTGGTTTGAAGAAAGATTGGACGAAAAGTATCAAAGAGAGGTGTGAAAAATAAAACCGTATATTCTGCCTATTCAACGGTCAACACTACTGTGCAAATTTCTTCTTTTTATTGGTCCGAAAGAAACGAACTACTACTATCTGTCTCTCAATTTAAATAATATATTTTCTTTATTAGTCCTTTTAATAAAGAATGTCATATTTATATATTTAAAAATAATTTAATTTTAAATTTTTTATTTTATCCATTTTATCTTTAATGAAAAAATTTTATAGTCACACAAATATTATGATCCCGCAAAACTTTTGCCCCTTAAGTTTTTAGGATCACATGTTTTAAAAGTCTTTTTTTTTTAAACTTTGTGTCAAGTCAAACTAAATCATTTAAATTGAGACGGGAGAGGAGTATATAACTTTAATGAAGTAACATAGAGGAAAGTGCACTTGTTACTGTTACATTGTTTTGCAAACAACAAAAAACGGGTATATAGAATATTGTCAGACCGATTATAAATTTCAATTTGGAACATGCACTAAAATAGGTGTTAACTTAGTAGGAGTTTTGACCTAAAAATTGTAATTTTTGAAAAAACAAATAATATTTGAAGTTAAGTTAAAAAATAATATTTAGAATTTAAAATTATGTTTAGACGTGCATTTTACTCGAAAAAAATGCTGCAGCTTTGTTAATGGGAAAAAAGTTTCTTCGAAAATTTTGAAAAGTGGTCAAAACCACTTTTTAGTTTTTGAAAAACNGGGGGGGAAATTGAAAAAAATCTATGAACAAACAGAATCCTAATGTTCTGCCATAGATATCATATTCTTTCCAATATTTAAAATAATATTTGCAAATTAGCAAATACTCCTTTGCAACTTCAAGTTAAGTACTCTTTTTTTCTCAAATGTTAACCAAATCATGTCTAGACGGTTCTTTAAAATAGCTCAAAGTATCATTTTAATTTTTTTATTTTGTTTTAGATGTTATCTTTGTTTATAAGTAACTAATTTAATTTTTAATTAAAATAATAAATGTAGAACATATATTCTTGATATTGCTTGAATCAAAATAATTTGGAAAATAGTTTTAAAAGGGATATTTATCACTCATATAAGGTTCAGGTGAGTTTGAAGAAATAATCAGAGTCTATTTCTAAAATTTTAAAAAATAAGAGATTTTGTGTTAATTGTTTTTTGAGAACCCGCCCCACACCCACTTTGAGTTAGTAACTAAGAGCTAGCCGTTATTGAGTTAGTAACTAGGAGTTTTTAGCAAAATTGGTCGATTTTGTTCTTTAAATATACCTCTAAGCATTTTTAATCCATAAATAGTGAAGTACTTTCGAACGAACTAACAAAATAAATTAACTCTTGTTAAAAATTAATTGTGATTTTCCTTAAGCATCTCAGTTAACTGGTAAAAAAAAACATAAACCATCCTCTTTATTACAGATTTTTTTAATTTCACAATCACGAACGCAATTCCCATAGCAAACTTTTCTTTTTTTAAGTTTTCTTTCTTCTACAATTTGGCTCATTCACATCTCTACTAGTAAAACCTTTCAACATATGACAAATGATTAACAGAGTTAACATCTATCTGTTTAAGACAATAAACCCACCTTCGAGGTGAGGGGGTTGGAAAATTCTCAATCCTGTATTATTCCTATGGACAAATTGAATAGTGAAAAAAAAGAGCACGCATAGTGATTTAAGGAAAGATTAGATAGTAATCAAGATTACTTACTAAGGGCTGCTCAATAAAACTAATGGCCTAAAGCCTTTAAGTTCACAATAAATTTCTTATAGTAATATTTTTATTTTTATTGGTAAAGATTAATTTAATTTAATAAGATGCTAGCCATGTGTTTGTAATAATTACCTAAGGATCTTGTTTGAAGTTTTGAATAGTCTAATTCAAAATTCTAAAATAATTCTTCCGTTAAAAATTAGGCAGTCTTTCTTTCTTTATTTATTAATAACAATTTTGTACGTTTCTACAAACTTCAATATTTATAAGCAAAATAAAACCATAAATTTACTACTCCCTCCGTTCTAATTTATGTGAACTTGTTTGACTAGGCACGGAGTTCAAGAAAAAATGAAGACTTTTGAATTTGTGGTCCTAAACAAGTCAAAAAGGGGTCCAGAGTATTTGTGTGGTTATAAAAGATTCTCATTAAGGGTAGAATTGGAAATTTAAGCTAAATTGTTTCCAAATTTAGAAATGGATTATTCTTTTTTGAACGAACTAAAAAAGAAATAAGTTCACATAAACTGGAACGAAGTAAGTACTAAAAACTATTGGAGTCCAAAAATGTTGGGATCTAAAGCAAAAGCTTTACTAGCATCCGAGTGAGCCGCCTTATTAGTTACATGGTAAATTATTGAAGGTAGTTGGTAATATGGGTGTATAAACAACCCATAACAATAATAGAGAAATGCAAATGATTGAAATCTGGTCAAGGATCTGAATCCTTTTTCTTCCTCTTCCCTATTATTCTCTTTCAAATTGGGGTGTCAAATTGCATATAAAATTTTGTGACTGGTCCAATGGCTGCGTTGGGGGTGCCTTACATAAATAGGGTAATAGAACGAAACTAATAGTAAGACACTGAATAAGACAGTAGTCATTAATTTGTATGTCAGCTCTAGTACAAAGGGTAAAGTCAAAAAAAGAGGTGAATACAACATTACCATATCTATAGCAAGAGCTTTTTTAACTTGGAAAAGCAAATTGGACAACTCTGAATAGTGTTAATATGTAGGGTCGTGCATAATTTGGTAAATACCGAATTATCATATTGAAATCAAAAATTTTGGTATTTGGTATTTGATATTTTAATATTTTGTATGGTATTTGGTTTAAGTTTTTTAAAAAAAAAATGGTATTAGGTATGGTATTTGGTATTTTAAAATGAAATATCGAAATACCGATACCGTACCGAAATATATATTATATTACACAATACACATATTATTAATTATAATATAAATATAACAACTTATCTAAAATTTTACTTTCCTTTGTTCTCCAAGTTTATCAATTAACTCTAAGCAAGTAACAAGACATTTCTATTTATCAAATTTATTTTTTTATGTACAGTTTTCTCTCTCTGGGTTGATATTTGTTGGTTTTGGACAAACTTTTGTCAACAAACGTTTTTAGTTTTGTACTTTTGAGTACTTTAATTAAGAATATTACAGTCTATGACTCTATGCACTAGTTAATATTCAAACCGAATAAACTAAAGTTACGGAACCGAATAACCCGAAACCGAAAGGAGAAAAATCGAACCATACCGAATTTAATTAGGTACGGTATTGGTATAGCATTTTAAGAAACCGAATACCGAAAATACCAAACCGAAATATCTAAATACCGTACCGTACCGACCGACGAACACCCCGAGGAGTATCTGAAAATTCGAATTTGCTTGCTGAGAATATCGCTAGGATGAAGACAGGCCAATAAGGACGTGATAAAGCTATTGTCCTATTATTATCCTTCAACAAAATTTTGCATTCCTTTGTTTGGTTAGTGAATACAGTTACGATTCTGCTAACTCAAAAGTCGGAATAAAACGTCCACGCAATTATACTTTTTAACCACACATCTACTTATGGTAGATATTCTTCAAAATCATTATTGGAAATAAGTTTCAACCATTTGATAAGAAGCGTTTTACCTTTCATGGCAGGTTTAATCTTTAGATTTGGATAGTTAAACCGAAAAGATTACGTATATAAGTTCCTCCATAATTTTAGCATAGCAATCTTCCAGGGCAGAGCTAACCCTTTCAGTTACGGGTTCATGAACCCAATAGCTTGATTAAACCCTTGTATTTGTCTTAAAAAAATATTGAATAAGTACAACTTACTAATTTAAAACAACTTAAAAGAACTAAAATCCCCAAACCCAAGCTTCAAATCCTATGAACCAAATGACCCCCTATATTCACATAAAATCTGCTTTCCAATAAGTAACAAATTTGCTTCAAACTAAGGAGGACATAATAATAACAAACTGAAGTCAGAGCAAACGAGAAAAAACAGCAATGTATATATGATATCTTCCTCCTTAGCAACACAGTCCCACCATACTAATTAATTACAAACGGCCTACACTGTCATATTCATCACCATTGTTACTTAATTCTGTTCAGTGGAATTCTCTCACTTTGTCGTGCAACCCTTTCCACATGAGAAATCCTTTGTGGCATCGTCATTCCTCCGGAAACAATGATCTCTGCATTTTGGCTTCACCATTAGAAACACTTGAAAACAGTTACATTAACAAACCCAAAATTCATTTACATCAATGTCCTGTTCAGATACTTTGATCTTCCATGGAAGTATAATGCATGACGAGGGCGGCCAAAGAGGCATTTGCACATAGCTTTACCATAACTTTTACAAAGATATATGATTTACTAAACTAAAGATCATTAAATAAGATGCATGCTTCGACCAGTCACCAAGCTATTAGTACTAAACAAGGAGCGGTCATTTTAAGGATGAGTTGTCAAAAGCTAGAAAACGTACCAATGCCTTCACGGATGGACAAATTTGGTCTTATAACGTCTTTGGCGTTAACCAGAAGTATATCACCAATATACAAATGGTTTGTAGGAACAAAAACACTACACAATTCTTCATCCCCTTCATCTGTCTGCAATCCAGAAAATAGTCGATGTTGAATATTGATATCAGCCAACAAAATAATAAAATGCTCTCTTTGCTTGTTCTAGTTTAGTAGTCGCTCTTTCTGCTTCTCATCTCTACCCATCACCAGAGAGAGAGAGAGAGAGAGAGAGAGCATTAGGGGACTATCATTGGAAAATGCCGGTTGCTCAAGATTAAGCACTTATGCACATCAAAGGACATTCTGCACTTACCAAATAAAAGGACATTCAGCATTTACAAATAACTACAAGCTAGAAGGGAAAAGAATATAGCCCAGTAAAACCTTGCACGAAAATTAGATACTACTTGGAAAACATGAACAAATTGATAATGAAATTAAGCTAAAGAGAAACTCAAATGACAGCTTTATCTAGTCTATTATAGCAGCAAATGAGAACAGGCATTTTAAAAATGATAAAGAAAATGGTTTTCCCTTACACCATGTTATCATACGGGGAAAAACTGATATCCAGAACAAGTACCTGAAGGGTAACTGATGATGTTATAAAACCAAAAGCATATTCACCCACACGAGGATGACGAATGATTGCCACTTCCTTAAAAGCAGTGGTATTTTGATCTGCAGATTATATAAGAATGAAATGTCAGTATCAAGAACAAAAACTAATAAGAAAATGCAGCAAAAGCAAAATACTCCACGAAGCAACCTCAACTCTCCAAATTAAGTATTTATAGTCTTCAAAGCACAATTTTGATGTATTATCTGTCTCGGTGATCCTGATCCCCTTGCTTTTTGACACTTTGGTTTATTGAAAGTATGAAAGTCTAGTACACCAAATGAAGTTCAGTTCAGATTTCACTTTTTTACTTCACAGCTCTGAGATTCATTTCACTCCTCCGAAAGAGATTATCCTTTCATTTTCTTTCTTTTGTTATCTACCTTTTTGTGATGAAAGGAAGAGAATAATATATTCTGTAAATTATAAAAAAAAAAAGAGGCTTTTTTCCACAATCTTTCCTGAAATTACCCGCTCTCCACCTTTCCCCATTCTCTCTCAGGCTGATAGTTGCAAGAGATGGGTCCATAAGTGATTCGATATGTGCACCACCACTTGCCTTGTCCAGTATCAAAGAGAAGGCAAGTTTCATTTCCTCTGTCTTCTATCCACAAGATTAAAATTCTGTAGCTTACCTGGAGATACTGCAGAACTGATCTGCTTTGAGGCTGAATATAAGTGTCTGACAAATGGCATTCGCTTAATAATCCATTCCCCAATCCAGAAAACACTAGCACCCAGCCAAGACGAAACAAAAACTCCAACGAAGAACACAAACACTAGAGATGTGACAAATCCTAGTCCTGCACCAACAACAAATGTCTCAAAGATCAGGAGATCTGGCCAATATACAATGGATAAAACAACATTTGATACAAGTAGGAAGGTGGGAACACATAAGCCAAATTCAAGGAAACATGAAATTTATCAATCATGCATGACACATGGAAAGATAACACACAACATAATGGGATTTATCAAAAACCAGCGACCTCCATCACCTCCAAACATGAAGTACTACAACTGATGAAATGCTAGATATTTGATGACAAAGAAGAGAATGAACTGCTTTCTCACAAGTGAGAGGCATTTACAACTCATGGGAAGAGAAGTCCTTTTTTAATAGGGAACAGAAGTCATGTATTTATATACATGCTGATCTCAACATCACGGTTTCTAAGAGCAAAAACAATTCATACAAATTGGTCAGAAATCTATTGCAATTGATACCATGCTCTCCCCTATTGATCAGCAGGAACCACTGATAGTTGCAAACACAAGGTGTTTTTCTTGTAAGATGAAATATTGCTAACACCAGGTTATGTCATGGGATCAGTTCTTTTAACTAACATGGTATTGAGGGGGGAAAGAAAGTAAAGCACAATTAATCTGAGGATGGTCAATCCTTGTTCTTGTAGTTATGTTAGGGTCAACCACGAGCACCTTAGTCTTACATAGCTGTATATAGTTGGTTGTATGCTGAAGGAAATATTCCTTCGAGCCACTGTGACCGAAATCCGCAGTTACCACAAACAAACTTTAATCCAAGCTCAACTAGTATGAAAAGAAATAATCAAAGTTGACAACTATCATGACAACACGACCAAAAATATATATAAATATTAAAGCTTCTTCTTGCTCATATTGCTCTCTGACTCTTCACCGCAGTCCAAGTAGTGAGAGTTCATAATATTCCTTTTGTTCCTTGTCTCCTTGATGCAAGGAGATAATAACTATGTACATGCTTATAAAGAGTTCCATGCAGCTGACACGTTCAAATACAAAGATAAGTTAGCCATATTATCTTGTGGAATCACAGGTATACCCAATGATAAAGTATCTGAATATGAAATACGAATTGGATCTTGAATGTGTAGGAGTACTGGACAATTAAGCATCAAGAAGCTGGATAAACCACAATAATGCAAAAAACTAACTGCAGCTATCAAATTTTTGGAAAGTGGAAATTGAAATTACCAAATATGTCAATGCCAAGTTGTTCATATAGTGGACTGAAGAAGCCATCAACAAACTGAATAAACCACCACGTCACAAAGAATGTAACTGCTACCGGGAAGAGAACTACACTGCAATTTCAAAGTTTAGAGTGGTTAGCGTTTGGCAGAACCTATCAAAAAAGTAAGGAAACAGATGCAAAAAGCAAATTACCATCCAGTCATAAACTTCTTAGACACCCAGCTTTGAAGAAAATAACAGCAAGCCTGAAAAGGGTGTATCAAAAACTATTTAGACATCTGCAAGTAAACTGCCTACAGGCATATGTATAGAGAGAAATGTTTAAATATGTCCTATTCTTCTCAAGATTCTCATTATATATACACAAGAAAGCACGATAAGTTCCAGACTGAAAGTATATAAGAGTACAGTTGGTATTAAAAGGATTAGAGAAAAAACAGCTCAACTGTCTAACAAACTGTTACCCTCTAAACTCTAAAGAACCTGGATCTTCTAAATCATATTTTCTCACATTGACCATTCATTTTCGAGCTTGGTTTCTGGATTCAAGTTATTTTGAAAGCATATGCAGAATATATAGTGGTACTGGGTCGGAAAAAGACTAGCAGACATACAGCTCAACTTTTCAAAGAACCTGGATTTTCTAAAGAATTTAGTTTGACTTGGCCCACTTGTTTTCCAGTTTGGACTTCTTTTCTTGATTCAAGTTGTTAAAAGGTACTCAAATTTTTTCATAATAATCAGATAAAGGATTAAGTAGCTAAAGGATTTCTAACAATAACTCTTTTTTTTTGGGTAATTAAAATTATTATTAATCACCAAGGATAACAGTACAAAGCATAGCATAGCATCTCCCAGCTAGCTGTTCTCTACAAGGAGTACCCAAGAACCTACTACTATCTGTTCCTCATATCCCTATACAAGCAGTATCTAAATAAGGACAAAACACTATGACTACTTTTTTTTTTTTAAAAAAAACATAGATTCTGTATCAGATCCTTCACTTTCCTATCTGCCCTGAAGTAGCACATGCTCACAATCTCCCTTGCCAAGGCTTCATGTTCTCTACTTGCTTCCATAGCACATGTATATATTCAGCATACATCATTTTAAGTAGCATTGTTGAAGCTGTCTTCCCCTTTGAGTGTTGAATGATAAACTGGAAATACATAATAAGCATGAATCCACTTGATCCACAACTTATCTTGCTTATGAGTTAGGTCCCAGTAGGATTTGGCAATTGCAGCACTATTCCACACCTGCAGATTAGTAAGGTTGAGTCCCCCTACAGATTTAAGTAGGCATACCTTTTCCCAAGCAAGCAGTGATTTTTTTGGTAATCATATTTCCCCCAGACCATAGGTAGCTTCTACAGTAAGCCTCAATTAATTTGACAACCTTAACTGGTAGTGTAAATAACTGAGCCCAATAAGATTGTATTCCAAACAGCACTGTTTGTACTAACTGAGCTCTGGCAGCATAGGATAATTTTTTTGTTGTCCAGGATGTTATGTTTGCTACCATTTTATTAATGAGGCGTTGCCACTGAAGAATGGATAGTTTTAGTGTCTAGTGGAACCCCTAAGTATTTAAAAGGCAATTGCTCCTCACTGTAACCAATAGCTTGAATGACAATTGCCTTTTGCATAGGATCCATACCCCCACAATAGACTGCACTCTTTGACAAATTAGCCTGTAGCCCAGAGGCAGATGAGAATGTCCAAAAACAATTATGGAGCTTCTGCACTGATTCTAGCTCACCCCTGGCAAATAGTAATAAGTCATCCGCAAAACACAAGTGAGTGATACCCAGCTTGCTACATCGAGGGTGGTATTTGAACTGTTTATCCTGTTTCAATCCTTTGAGTAGTCGACTCAGATACTCCATAGCAATAGCAAATAAGAATGGTGACATTGGGTCTCCTTGCCTCAAGCACTTAGCTGCATTAAAAGGCTCTGTTGATTCTCCATTTAACAAAATAGAGTAATTAATTGTTGTCACACAAGGCATTATCCATTTTATAAACTTCTCAGGGAAAGCCAGTCCCTCAAGAACCTGCTCTAAGTATATCCATTCTACAGAGTCATAAGCCTTCTGTAGATCCACCTTTATCATGCATCTAGAAGAAATGTGCTTCATGTTGTATAACTTAACCAGCTCATGAGCTAATATTATGTTGTCTGCTATTCTTCTCCTTGGAATGAAGCCTGCTTGTGAGTCAGAAATGATATGACTCATAACTTTTTGCATTCTTCCAGTTATGACTTTGGCAATCAGCTTATACAATACTGTGCAACATGCTATGGGTTGATAATCCTTCACTGTGTCTGGGTTGGCAACTTTTGGCAGTAAGATGAGTGTGGTGCAATTTATGACCTTATATAGGATCCCTGTATCAAAGAATTCCTTCACGGCTTCACATACATTTTTCTTGATAATGGGCCATGATATCTTGAAAAATAAAGCATTGAACCCATCTATTCCTGGGGCTTTACAGTCCCCAATTGCATTCAGCCATTCATAGATTTCTGACTCTGTAACATTGGCACACAGATCTTTTTGTTGTGCATGTGACAGACAAAGACCATTCCTCATGACCAATCTATTGATAGCCGGTAAGCTAGATGTTGTTGTTCCCATCAAGGATTTATAAAAGTCAACAAATTCAACTTTGATTGCTCTTGGTTCTTGGAGTTTACCACTTGTTAAGGAGTTAATCTCAAGAATCTGCTTCAGATTTTGCTTTTCCTTCATTATGGCTGTGAAATATTTGTTGTTTGAGTCACCCAGCCTAATCCAAATAGCCCTAGACTTTTGTTGCAGTGCATTTTCCTCTATCAATGACCACTTCTCCAATTAATGTAGGCATTCTTTCTCCTGATCAGCTAGGATATCAGAATAATGGGCCTGCATTGCTTCTTGAATCTCTTTCAAAGTTTCTCTGGCTTGTGTAATTTTCCCTGAAACTCCTTTAAACTCTGTTGAGTTTAGTTGCTTAAAGACTGGTTTCAATTGTTTCAGTTTAAACCACACATTCTTCATCTTTCCAATTGATAGTTCTGGACCATCCTTGTGCTACATTCTGATTAAAATGCTCATGATCTACCCAGATGTTAAAGAACCTAAAGGGAACTTTAATGTTGCTCCTTGGCTCTCTCAAAGGTATAAGCATAGGATGATGGTCTGAAATGAATGGTTCTCCATAGGTTACAGTCAAGTGCCCATATTGCATCATCCAATCATCATTTGCAATTGCCCTATCAAGTCTGTTCATACTCTGTCATCCCCTATTTGGTTGTTGGTCCATGTATAGTAATCTCCCTTCCAAGGTATTTCATTTAGTAACAGGCTATTGTAGCATTCTGAGAAGTCTTTCAATTGAGCTAAAGTCACAGGATTGCCTTGTCTATCTTGAGGAGTTAGAACAGCATTGAAATCTCCACATAAAAGCCAAGGCATCTTGATCTTGGGGGCCATCTGTTCAAGTTGATTCCACAAAGTTTTCCTTTGATCTACTGTGTTGAACCCATATACCACTGTAAGCATACAGACCATACCATTCAGCTTGCCAGTCACCTGACAATGAATCAGCTGGGCTGCCTTTGCTATGAGTTGAACTTCATAGCTTTTGGCATCCCACAGAACTCATATTCTCCCATTGATTGCTTCTGTGTAGTTAGTTAGCCTATCCCAGTTAGGAGCCACCTTACTAGCTATAGACTGTGCTTTATTTTCTTTGACTCTAGTTTCTACTAAACCAGCTAATCTAATTTGATTATCTCTGAGATACTGCTTAAGCTCTTTCTGCTTGTATCTCTTAGTCATTCCCCTAACATTCCAGAACAGCCAAGTCATTGAGATAATATGAGTTCACCTCCTATATCAGGAGGCCTAGTGTTCTCATCTCTCATTCCCTCTGCAGGCAAAGCTTGGAAGCCATTCTTGGTCACTATAATCTCTGCATTAATTGCATTATGACGCATGTCTTGCCCATATATTCTCTATGTTGTCTACTTGATTGGTGTTCATGCAATTTCTGATCTGAAGTGGATCCTTTTGCTCGCACATGAGTCCAACCTGCTTCAGTGGTCTCATTAATTGTAGCCCCAAGTTTCTGTTTACCCCTTTCATTAGCTTCACTTTGATGCAAGGCTTGTTGTTGGTTCTGCATTTTCTCCGCTGGTTGCTGCTTATCTTTTGGTTTCCATGCTTGAACTAGCTTAGGTCTGGCTCTTTGCAGTGGGCCAATTCTCACTTCCTTCTTTTGCTTGCTACAGTCATGGCCAATCTGTAAACACTCGGCACAGAATGTTGTCCTCCATTCAAATTCAATTGGTTGTTGAAATTGTCTACCAGAGGGATCCTTAACTGTTACTTCAGTAGGCAGTTTCTTTGTGACATTTACTTCAATCAAAATTCTAGCATATGACACCCTGGTTTGTTTTACAGTGCATTGGTCTGCAAATAATGGATTACCAATGGTGCTAGCCATCCTGCTTAGTGTATTTGTGCCCCAGCAGTTCATCGGGAGTTTTGGAAAATTCACCCACAATGGAATTTCTGTCAAGAATTCATCATTGAAATCAAAATTCGAGGTCCATTGTTTTATAATGATTGGTCTGCTATAGATGGTATAAGGGCCACCATACAATACTTCCTGCAAATCACCTAGGCTGTGAAATTTAACGATATAATATCCCTCTTCATGAAGAAACAATTCTGGTTCAGCCACATTGTTCCAAAATTGTGAGATGTATTTGCTCATATGATTGTACCCAGGCATTTCCCCAATTATATAGACAATGAGAGCTTTCTTCCATTTCTCAGTTTCACACTCAATTTCATTTTTATCTAAATTGACGACAAACTGTCCATTCACAATTTCAGGAGCAATGTAAGTTAGGTGCATACCATTCTCAACAGAATGACTTCCAGCAAAAAGAATTCCTATTTCGATGGTTGTCAATCGGAGTTACCACTTGCTGTGAATTCCTATTTCGATGGTTTCAGCAATCACACTTGCGCTAACAGAGCTTCCTACGGTCACGAGGTCGTCCTCTCTTCCTAGCCATGGCGATTCACAGACGGCGCACGATAGCGTATCATGCGCCGGGAGCACAAAGCTAGAGATACAATAACTCTTTTTATTTTTGATAAAGAGAATTCTAACTTTTATCACATAAATTTTCACAACTACAACACAAGAACTTATGTTTGGCGTGTATAAATTGACGCTAAACCCCCAACCCAAATAACCAACTCCATTTCCATAAGATAAACATTATGATTTTGATCACATCAAAATCAACATGTTATTAGAATGCTCATTTCCTACATTTTCACATCCAGAATATTAGAATTCACTTTTTGTGCATAAATTGACTCTAACTAATCGATAACCCCACACCACAAGAAAAATTAAAATCCCCAATTCACAACCTTTTTGCCTGAGCAGATAAGATGAACAAGTATCAAAATCTCATTTAAGGAATCAACTCATGTTTGACTTCAGTATATATTAGCATTCTCCATGCACTTATAAAGGTACCAGTTTTCCAAATTGATGGATCAAATATTGTAGATATATACTACCATTTGACCCCAAAAATTAAAATATCAAACACAAGCACCCATTTCCCATTTAAACAATCTTCTTTTTTCTTGCTTTTTCCACCATGTGCTCAAACTCAAAACCTTAACATGAATAGCACTTCCTATAGCAAACACGAATACCCATTTTCTTCTTCTTCTTTTTTTTTTGTATTTTCCTTTTTTTATATGATAGTAATGTCCTGGCCAGCTTGTGCGCATCTGACTATTCCACGGATACCTACTACCCTCTAGGCAAATGGGAATAAATCATTTTTTCATTGCTGGGATTTGTTTGTATTTCCCCCTTTTTTTTAATTATTTCAGTTGGATTTATGAGCAAGAGTAAATACCCTCAAAAACGTAAGAAAAAACACGAGCAACAAAAAATTAAAAAAAACAGACAGAATTCGACAATTACAAACAAAAACAGACCTTGCGGGTAGAAGAATTAGGGGAAGAGGGAGGTGATTTGATGGGGTCTTCAGGATCTTCAGTGGCTTGACTCAGTGGTACTGAAGTTGGGTCTTTCTCTTCCGCCATTTTTTTCAGTTTCTAGATAGATCTCAGGAGGAAGAAATGGAAATGACTTGCAGCAGCACAGTGCCAGCTGAGATTGTGTTGTGAGATTAATTGGGAAAGTTTGGGGTTTAAGAGAGAAGAAGAGACTTGTGAATTGTGCGATATATGAGCTGTGACCTTTTTCACTTTGTAAACTTGGAACTGAAGGGAAAACAATTAAAAGGATATCTCTATTCAAATACTTCAATTTAAATATCAATGTGTTACTAGCGGTTAACGAAATGGGAAAAATTAATATCGCGTTCAGATCTCAACATATATATATAATACTAGATAATTTTTTCTCATATATCTAATTATTGTTGGACATAATTACCTGATATTTGTACTAGTTAAGTGAGCACAAGCTGGCTCTGAATATCAAAGGTATTTTAAGAGTTTTTGTAGGCATTTGGATATAAAAATTAGTATAATTTTTGAAAAAAATAGTATTTGAAGTTAAGTTGAAAAATAGTATTTGAAATTTTAAATTATGTTTGGAGATGCATTTCACTTGAAAAAAATATTATAATTTTGTGAGTAGGGAAAAAAGTTTCTTCGAAAATTTTGATTTGGAAAACACATTTTCGATAATTTTTTAAAAATTTACAAAATTTCATGGACAAACATATTTTTGAAAAAAATTCCGGAAAAAAAAGAAAAAATTATGGACAAACGGGTTCTTAGTCGTTTTCAACATGCAATTTCTATAAGAATAAGGGGTCATTTGATGGGAAACAAGTTATCGCATGATTAGTTATCATGTGATTAGTTATCCAACTCCCTCATAGGGATAAAAAACACTATAATTCTGAAATTAGTTATACCACTATTTTATCCCAATCAAACATAGGTTAAACTCAACTCAAATTTAGTCCCGAAATTAATTATCCATTATACATCGTACCGAACGAGACCTAAGTATTATGTCTAGAGAGTTTAAAATTATAAAGTGTATCAATTTCTTCAGAACAAAATCTTAAAAAAAGAAGTATACAAAATGCAACGGAAAAAAATAAAGCATAGTTGGGATAGGGGCCGGGGAATGGGGATTGGCAAGTGATGCACTTGAGTTTGAGTGTCAAGTGTACTTTACTTGAATTCAAAGTGATAGATTAACTTAACCTTTCTTTTACGCAGCTTGTGAGGGTCATGGTGCACGGGGAAATTTTTTTCTTAAAATGTGTTATTTTCATTAAACAAATGTAAATAAATGATATATGATTTTGTCTATATACTTTTATTATTTAATTATAAATAATTCATATGTATTTCGATCTTAATTTATCACTAAATTATACAAACAAATTAGTATATGAAACGTAAATTATCGAATACAAGAAAATTTTATTTAAGATAACACGTGAATGTGGGCGGGCGGCCAAGGCAAGGGAACGTTAGACACCTTACATGATTATTTTAATAGTGCACCTCTACTGAAGAAATGTTAATTAATCCTTTAAGTTTGAAAGCCTTTTTTTTCCTGTTAAATAAGTTGGACTCTCGATGTCTCTAACTTGACAATATTATGTTTGCACTAACAACTGTTGCGATTATTAAATAGGTGATAAATAAGACAAACAGAGAAGGGTCAAATATACTTATGTACTATTAAAAATAATTTAAATTTATCCTTTGTTTGAGTATCCATCAATAGTTGCCCTTACTGTTATATTTTTACACAAATATACCCTAGTTTTAACGATAGGATAAGTAGCATTGCAAGAACTGAAAACTCACCCCTAATTTTATATCCTTTAGAGACCCACCCTTTTTTTCAAATCCATTGCCCAACCAAATTTCTCACACTTAAATATAACCTCCTCACTTAATTAAACTCTCAAAGTAGAAATCTGACATACTAAATCTTTTTCTCCTCCATCTCTTCTATGTTCCAACTACCCCTTTCCACTATTATTTGACAAATTATCACACAAAAATTATCACGACCCAGTGATGGCGCCTAACACCGCTGTCAGGCAAGCCATTAGTGAATGATTAACTTAATTACTTATTTTAGAACTTCTGAAATCATATTTTTTTATCAATTAAGTAGTAAGAATTAGAATTCACATGGTGGTGATAATATTTTTACAACTTTGATAATGAACAACCCGTAAACATCCCCAAAATCCGGTGTCACAAGTGTATGAGCATCAACTAGGAAATATAATATAATACAACTTCTGCCTGGAACACAATTTAGACAGGACAATATAAATAACTCTGATGGAGACTCTGCAGACTGCGGATCATAGCATGGAATGCAGCTCACGGTAAGTCCCCTCAACATCCGCGCCTCTACGCCCAGAAGACCACCAGACATATATGTAGCTGCACAAAAATGTGCAGCAAGTATAGCATGAGTATGTAAATCAATGCGTACCCAATAAGTATCTAGCCTAACCCAGAGAAGTAGTGACGAGGGGTCGACATCGACACTTACTAGTGGTCCAGTAAGACAGTTATAATAAGAAGTAAACAGATATGGGGCAGAGTAATTAAACGAAATAAACAAGTATAAATACGTGGTACAATCATCCTCTCTATAATAAACTCAAGCTCTCAGATACACTAGCTTTTTGACAAATGATACGCACGTTTCCATATAAGTATTTTATAGAAATGTCGAGGCGTACGGCCTGATCCCATCATAATCTGGTATATAACCATAGATACATCTATTATATATTGTCGAGGCGAACGGACCGCTCCCATGAGAGTGCGGTACATAATCCTGCCAAGGCGAACGGCCCGATCCCATAAGATGTGCGCACTGCCGAGGGTCGAACGGCACGAACCATAGATGTATCTGTTACATCCCATGTTTTCGTACATGAAAATATGCCATAAGTGAATTGATGAAAACTCGGGAATGAGATTATTTTGAGGTTATTTTAAGATTATAAGCATTTTATGCTATTTTAAACAAGTAATGAGTAAATTCGTGAAGGTGAGAGGGTAAGCAAATCGAAGAAAATGAATTTCGTCGAAGTTCAATATTTTGGGATAAAATACGACCGAGCTAAAATACCCGATATTTATGGACTAATACCATACAAAGTACTATACGTCTATGATAGTAAGGTGTATAAAGTGTAGTAAAAGTGAGTAGTATTTTATATAATTTGAGATAATTCTTAATTATATAAATAATCGGGTAATTATCGATTTTAGTGGAAGATTAATAATTAGTGAATACATAATTAGGATCTTGGATTGGATAATGCTTATAACCATTTACGTGGCAGCCCATCATTATAATCAGTGACTCATGAATTTTGTTGCAAAATGACAAAATTAGGTAAATTTTGGGTGGCTTAGTCATTATGCAAGTGGGGGCCATACCACTAATATACAAAGATTCTCTAAATTATAATATTGAGATGATTACTACAAAGCAACGGATGAAATTTGTCAAAGAAGGAATTCACATAAATCCTTTACAGATGTTGATGGCAACGTGAGTTACCTCTCAAAAGAGACTTCTCAAATTCAAAGAAACTTATCGAATTCAAAGAGAGACATCATGTGAATTTGAATGGCAACGTGAGTTACGTCAAAAATTCATACGAGATTGTATCTGAGTAACGTGAGAATTTTCATCTTCAAAGTGATGGATAGCTTCAGCAAGAAAAGTTATCCAATATTGTGATCAAATTCATTAAGAGAGAAGTATTAAAAACAATCAGCAAGGTAACTATCTTAAGCAAGAATTTCATACAAAATTATTTAGCGTAATATCAACGGAATTTTGCGATTCTAAGGGAGTACGGTATAATCTTTTTCAAGAATACCATACGGATATTTCCCTACTTCGGTCTGCCGTTACATGTTGTTACAATAGACGCGTGTTAGAGGAATTGTCAAGAGAATCTGTCCAGGTATGTTAAGGTTATCCCTTCTTTCTTTTTGGCATGATCCAAATGATACAAACGAAACGAGCAAAGTACGCAACTTTTATAAATGACTCTATTCATAGAAATACTAGGGGTGTTTATATTCTTGATTCCCCATGTGAATTATTATTATACCCTCTATTCATGGGTCTCAGAAAAATACGTATTTGATAAAATTTGTCCGAAAGGCATATTGATTTTATGATATTCGAGAAATCTTATTAACGTATTTCTTATGCATTTCATGCATTTATACATGTACATTGACTCATGATCAGAAGGCATTATATACGCGTATATTATATGTATATGTGAAATGGGAAAAGGTTATGGCATTATACATGCACCACCACCCGATCATCTGGTATACGTTGATAATTTGCCCACAGTGGCCGAAATGATATGATGGGATGCCCTCAGAGGCTTGATGATGTTATGAACGCATATACCTATGCACGGTATGACATTTATACGCATATGCATGATATTATAAAAAAACAAAATGATTCATAGAGCTATTCAGACTTACATGTCGAGTCTTTTACTCCATGTGTCTCTCATGTCTATTACTTACTAATTTTTATTCTTTACATACTCGGTACATTATTTGTATTGACGTCCCTTTTGCCTGGGGACGCTGCGTTTCATGCCCGCAGGTCTCGATAGACAGGTCGAGAATCCTCCAAGTAGGTGATCAGCTCATCAAAAGATATTGGTGTACTCCATTCGCTCCGGAGTTGCTTGATTGGTCAGTATGATTAGATGTTTATGGTTTGGTATGGCGGGGCTATGTCCCTACCGTTATGATATTTATGTACTCTTAGAGGCTTGTAGACAGATGTCATGTATACGGATATTGGTATGGCCTTATAGGCCAGTACGCCATATTTATAAGTCGATACCCTATATTGAGTATTTCCTCATGTTTTATTCTACTTATCTCATGACAACCTCTCCGTCTCATTTACCTATGATAGTATGATACGAAAGATATGTTACGTTGGTACTCGGTTGAGTAAAGTACTGGGTTCCCATCGCGGCCTATCGGTTTAGGTCGTGACAGTATCTATCCTGCCGAGGCGAACGGCCCCATCCCATTAGAATAAGAAACTTTGACGGGTCATTGACCCCACTCACGAAGGGACATGTAATTTATAAGAAGCTTTGAGGAAACTTTTAGATAAGAATGCATAACGCGGGAGAAATTCGTAAGAGGAGTACAATTATTCCACGGCTAGTTATGAAGCCCGTCAAATCTCTACAAAAACA